ATTGGTTAAAAACGATTCCAGTAGACTAATTTAGGGGACTCCTGGAAGTCAATGCCTCAAAGAGATACAAAACATTGTTCTCACAAGTACAGCCCACACCTTACGAAGGGCTTTATCTATGTAAAATAGGTGGGGGGTTTTGATTTTTTTTTTTCAGCGGAAAGTTTTATGATGCTATTTCTAACATTAGGTCTCTGGTCGGGATCCGGAAAGAAATGTGTAAACGCCAGAAATCAAAGGAAATAATAATAATAATAATAATAATAATAATAATAATAAAAATAAATGCCCGAATGCTAGAGCAGGCTAGACACTCATGGCCTCTGAACTTGATTAGAGGTGTTACTATATTTTGCCATGGTGAATAAAAATGGACTACAGTGAATATCCCATTCAGTAGATTCGCTTTTCAGTTGCCTGACTATAAATCAGTTGGTCATGGTCCCTATAAGATATCTATTCATGCGCGGAAGTAGGGTGCTGAGTCATGACCGGATGTTTGAAATATGATGCAACCAAAGCAACTCTGGAGTTCCAGCTGGAAACACGGAAATATCTTCTGGCTTATTCGATCTGTTGTTATTTCCAAGTAGACACCACTTAAAAGTTGATGTACTGCTTTTATAATAACTTGCAAATGTATCACATAAACATTTATCTGTGACGCGTATGTCTAGTTTAACCTTATCAGTCTAAAGTGTATGATGAGACTATATATGGCTCCGTATAAGTGCCCGCCACCTTCATTTTGTTAGTCTGCTGCTTTCTCAATCTCTAATAATTGGATGCTTCTTTCGTGGTTGTCGCATTCAAGAATATTTATAAACGGCTTCGGGATACCTGACATCAGTATTAGTGTGGCGCTGGCAGCGCTGCTTGGGACAATTCATGTGACGAGGCGAGGGTTTTCTCTTTTAGTCGCGAATAGAAGATATCGTTTATATTCACTCGGTCGAGATATCTAAGACTCGCAGAACGTATTAATCAAACAATAATAAAAATGGGTGATCGAAAATGACCAAGTCAAGATCTGATGGGATTTCAGCATCCAAACAGATTACATCATTGAGTCTGTTAATCCAGACCTCACTGTCTTTGAAAAAAGAAACAAAAACAAGAAATGGGGGTGGCCGATTACCATGATATCATTGTGAAAGAAATTGAAAAGCTTAAAAGGTACACCGATCACCGGATTGAGGTTGCCCGAATTTACGACGTTCAAATCTCGCGAAAAGACCAGTTATCATTGGATCGTTAGGGTTCGAACCTAAAGACATACACTGAGAAAATCGGATTAAAGTCGGGTATCCAATAACTTCAGAAGTCTGCCTTACTTAGCTTTGCAAATATTCTTCGAAAGATACTATTTGAAATTCTACGATTTGATGGAGAACGCCCATAATGCAAAATCTCCAGCTAAAAACGAAAAACCGCGCGAAAGAAACAATAATAATAATAATAATAATAATAATAATAATAATATTTTTGTTTAGCATCATTATGGCAGCTACTATCTCGGGTGTGGGTGCCATATGTCAGAAAGATCTCCATTTTCCCCCTATGTACATAATCGAAGTCTTTAGAGAAATCTACAAATAGTAATACGGCTTGTAGATTCGTTGGCTTGACGCCCACAATAATCTGAAGAACCGATATCATTTGTCTAATGGTTGATCCATTTTTTAAAGACATTTGGATTTTTTTTCAGAGCCCCTTTTCTTTGGGAAAGGAAATATGCAGCCTTCTGTCCATCTTTCTTTGACTTCACCATTATATGTGGCATTAAAGAGTTGCAGTAGAATACCTTTGAAATGCCGAGTCTTCTAAACTAATATCATCAAGTCTCGCTGATTCCCCAATTTTGGTGTTTTTCTAAAACCATTTCAACTTTCATATCTGTAAAGTTTCCAGGATTAATATCAAGAGGATGTTCAATGATTACCTCTACATTAATATCAAAAATATCGTATACATTTCCCAAGAGATTTTTTAAAATGGTCTTACTATTTACTGAATCTTTGAACCTGAGTATTAGTCTTTATATTGGATTGGCTTGTTCAATTTCTAAAACAGAAAATTATTAGTCAAATTTTTCTTCGATGTATTCAGTTTGTTGATCTTCATAAGAGCTCTTGAGTTGAGCAAAGGCTTCATTGAAGTCATGGATAGATTTAAGGGGTGGATTTGAATTTCTTATGGTGCCTTTTTCTTTCACATTAGCCCTTTGTGATTTAATGCTCTTTGAATCCCAAGGAATGTGTTGCTGATGTTTACGTTTTAAGGGTATAATATCTGCCGCAGCCTTTTCATGAAAACTAAAAAAAATCATTGTAGATTGTATTAGGAGTTGGTTCCTCGGCATCTTCTTGGGGTGTTTCAAACTTATTTCTGATAGCAATGGCGTAATGGTCTTTGAGATAACAGTTTGTTGTTAGAAGAGACTCTGGTTCGGACCCGGAAGCAAATGTGTATACAACAGAAATCCAAGGAAATAAAAATAATAATAATAATAATAATAATAATAATAATAATAATAATAATAATAATAAACCGCTTCATGACCAATACTCTGCCAGTACCAAACAAGCTGACGTAGACAAAACCCGTACCCATCAGTGGCTACGTAGTGCAGAGTTGAAAGCTAAAACTGAAGGTTTTATCCTTGCTGCACAGGACCAATGCTTGTTGACTCGAAATTATCAAGCACATATACTAAAATATTGTGTTAGCCCAAAATGCACATTCTGTGATAAATATCCAGAAACGATTGATCATCTTGTATCAGGTTGCACGATATTGGCACCCACTGAATATAAAACCCGGCATGACAGAGTGGGCCAATATCTGCACTGGAAAATTTGCAACTTCTACGGGAAGGAAACTGAAAGAAACTGGTATGAACACCACCCAGACCCGGTTACGGAGATAGGACCTGTTACAATTCTATGGGACTACACAATACACACTGACAGAACAATCAAAGCCAACCACCCAGATATTGTTATTAAAGACCACAAACAAAAAAGTACCTCCTTATTGATATGGCAGTCCCTGCAGACTGCAATGTATCTTTGAAGATATTCCAAAAGCTGTCAAAATACAAGGACATTGAAAGAGAAATCTCAAAAATGTGGCATATGGGAACATCAACAATCCCTGTTGTAGTTGGAGCCCTAGGAATGGTTGGAAAAGATTCCAGTAGACTAATTGAAGGGATTCCAAAGAAATACAAAAGAATTGTTCTAACAAGTACGGCTCACACTTTACGAAGGGCTTTATGTATGTAAAATATTTTTTGTCAGTGGAAAGTGTCATGATGCCATTTCTCACCTTAGGTCTCTGGGCAAGACCCAGAAAGAAATGTGTACACGCCAGAAATCAAAGGAAATAAAAACAATAATAATAATAATAATAGCCAAAATCATATCATCTATAAAATTTAAACATTCTGATAATATATTTTTGTGTGGAATTACTCGTATTAATTCAAACCTAAAAATAGAAATTTTACGCAATTACTTACAAAACAGTGACTTTGAAATTTCTCATTTAATTATGATACAATTTCAGCTTAGCATAAATAAGAATATGCTAAAAATGATATGACTTTTACCTAAAATTCGTATTAGAATTAGAATTATGCTCAACTTCACGCGGGCATCTCTCTGCGCCTTCTTGATATCATATTTTCCACTGAGCTGAGGTGGAACAACTACACTGAATCAATAGCTTCATCTACTGCAAGGAATGTTGATTCTCTGTGTTGCGCCAGACTGTTTTTCTCGTCTGAGTCCATCCTTTAAATTTACCATTCGTCCTTGCATTAAATACTGTTGCCATATATGGTCTGGTGCCCCTAGGTTCAAGACGGATAAGCAATGTGATAGCTACTGACCTGACATCTCGACTCCAGTACAATTTCTCACCGACGTAATGCGGCTTCCCTCTGTCTTTTCTACAAATATTTTCATGGCAACTCGTCTGATGAGATATTTTCAATGGTGCCCCAACGGCATGAATTTAAGTGTGATACAAGGTTTGCATCTCGCTCCCACCCTTTTACTGTCGAAACAGTTAAAGGAAACCGCCTCTTCTACTTCAACAGCTCTTGCACTTCCCAATAGTGGAACTCCTTTCATATTATTTGCCTTCCTGATAAGTATAATCTTCAAAAATTAAATGTAATGTCAATCGACATCTTCTGATGCCTTGATCTTGGTCCTCGTTGTTCTCTTTATCTTTTCCTCAAACACCTGACTTTTCTCTTACTTTCATTCTCTGTAATTTCTCCATATTTATTATTACTTTCACTCTCTTGCGTGCTAGTGAAACTACCGCCAGAATCATAACAAGATCATGTAAAACTTCCGCTACAGCTCGACGACGAATGACACACTTTCTTTGCATCTCAAGAAACCGGAAGATGAAACATGCCAGTTCGTGCGCAACTACAAATATTTGTTTGACATTACCCCAGTGAATCGCTGAAGTCACTCCAGGAATTGTCACATATTATACACACACACACACACACACATATATATATATATATATATATATATATATATATATATATATATATATATATATATATATATATATATATATATATATATATATATATATATATATATATATATATTAATGTATATTTGGGCAGAAAACGTTCTTTTAACCATCTGTCATTAAATATGGTAGGCGAGAACACTTAAGAACGGTTACAAAACTAAATAAAAAATTAATTAAATTTTCTTTCTCTGCCATATTTATCGAAATAGATAGATAGATAGATAGATACTAACAAATCCGTAAGTGGAAAGAATAAACTAAGTAGATCTTTTTAAAAATATTAAAAATATACATCTATGAAGAAAGCTCAATGTCTTGTGAAATGTATTGGTAAAATGCTTAAAAAAAAAAAAAGAAATTCTCAAGATTAATTTACCAAAAGTATGAATTTTTTCAACTTGCTTCTCAAAATATTAGTTCTTTATCAAAATATGCTAACAATAAGTAAATTAAAAAATATGTTTCTGCAACATGAACAGTGAGCTAACAATTACATAATATTTTTGGTTCGTTTCTGAATGCTGTTCAAAATGACGCAGTTAAATTGTCGTTAGCCAACGACTGACTTTAGGGTCGTTACTCTTTTTTATGTTCCTGCCGATTTAGTCTGTCCGTTCGTCTCTCGGTTTGTTTAGTCATCGCATGAACAATGCCTGCATGCTGTATGTTATATAATATGTCGTTCGGTTAGCCTAACCTTTCACGTCAATATAAACGTTGAATAAAGTAGCTGAATATTGTCGGTTTGAAATTGAATTCAGCTGTTGACGCATTGACTCTTTTTATTAAATCTCTCTCTCCCTCTCACTCCCTCTCTCTCTCACTCCCTCTCTCTCACTCCCTCTCTCTCACTCCCTCTCTCTCTTTCTATTGTTCTCTCTATATCTATCTATCTATCTATCTCCCTGGCTTGCTCTCTTCTATTGTTCGCGCTTTCTCTCTCTCTCTCTCTCTCTCTCTCTCTCTATCTATCTATCTATCTATCTATCTCTCTATCTCTATCTCTATCTCTCTCCCTGGCTTGCCCTCTTTCAATTGTTCGCTCTCTCTCTCTCTCTCTCTCTCTCTCTCTCTCTCTCTTTCTATTGTTCTCTCTATATATATCTATCTATCTATCTCTATCTCTCTCCCTGGCTTGCTCTCTTCTGTTGTTCGCTCTCTCTCTCTCTCTCTCTCTCTATCTATCTATCTATCTATCTATCTCTATCTCTATCTCTCTCCCTGGCTTGCCCTCTTTCAATTGTTCGCTCTCTCTCTCTCTCTCTCTCTCTCTCTCTCTCTCTCTCAAAAGAAGAAGAGGTTGAGGTTGAGGTGTGAGGGGAAATATCTTAGCAAACTCAATTTTGTACTAACTCTTACTGATCTTACATGTGGGTTCGCCTATAGAATTGTTGGTAACCACCCTCCTGTTAAATTTACTGGGTCAGTGATATAAATTACTTTCTTTAACTTAATGAAAAGAAATGTTATAATGAACAAAAGAAAACAGGTCGCGCTTTATATTTTTAAATTAATATCTAATAATAATTATACATATTTAAAAATAAACACGAATTTCAGAGAAAAAAAAAGCCAATTATCGAATAAAAATACAGATCTACAGACATGGCGTCCGTCCTAAAACGATTGTCAACGGCATATCTCGCATACCATTTCGTCAGGATAATCTTGATGGATTTCTGTAAGTTCAGTTTAATGTATCTATACAGAGTTGAATCTACAAGTTCCTATCAATTATCATGTTAGTTTGAAATTAAGATGACCACTATCTAATATTAGATCTATGAGGGTAGGCTGAAAAGTTCATAGGCTGACTATAAAGGAGTGAATGCTACAGCTGTGAAATTCTGCATGCATTCATTTCAAGTCTTCTTATTAATAACTGCATTATTTCTTTTCAGGTACGAGGGTTGGCTGAAATTTCATAAACTGAAAATGAAGGAATGTGCAAGAGCTGTGAAATTTTGCATTTCAACTTTTCATATTAATAACTGCTTTGTTTCTTTCCAGATACGAGGGTGGGCTGAAATATTCGTGGGCTAACTGTGAAGGAGTGATGCTAGAGCTGTGAAATTTTGTATGTATTACTTCAACATTTAATGACTGCTTTGTTTCATTCCAGCTATGAGGGTGGAGATTTCATAGGCTGACTATGAAGGTGTGATGCTAGAACTGTGAAATCTTGAATGCATTCATTTCAACTCTTCTTATTAATGCCTGCTTTGATACTTTCAAGGTACGAGGGTGGGATGAAATGTTCATAGGCTGACTATGAAGGAGTGTGCTAGTGCTCTGAAATCTTGCATGCATTAATTTCAAGTCTTTTTGTTAATAACTGCATTGTGTCTTTCCAACTATGTGGGTAGGCTGAAAAGTTCATAAGCTGACCGTGAAGGAGTGATGCTTGAGCTGTGAAATCTTGCATGAATTCGTTTAAACTCTTCTTATTAATAACTACAATTTTTCTTTCCAGGCACGGTGGCGGGTTGAAAATTTCATAAGCTGTCTTTAAAGGAGTGATGCTAGTTCTGTGCAATCTTGCATGCATTAATTTCAACATTTTTTTTTTATTATTAATAACGGCATTATTTCTTTCCAGGTAAATTGGTAACTGACATTTTAAAGAAGAATCTCCATTCTGTATGTAAAAAATGTCATCAGCCACAGATATGATTCGCTTATCACTGCGATACTTGTTCCCAGGCAAGTGTTTTTCATGTTGGAGAACAGATGATAATCAACTCAGCAGAATAGGAAGGGTGATCAACCAGTTCAAAATCATAGTCATGTACAACAGCCATTCAAATCAAGGACTTGTTTGTTGGCGTACTGTCCTGGTGAAGAAAGAACCCTTTCGTCAGTTTTCCTGAGAATTTGATCTGGATAGCGTAACTGTCTCAACAAGTTGGCATAGTACACTATATTGTATGACCCTTTTGAAGATAGTCAATAAACACAATGCATTTTACATAACAAAAATTGAGATGGAACTACCTTGACCTTCTTTGGAGAAGTTGAGGAGGAGTTTTTCCACTGCATGGATTTTCTCTTTGCGTCAGGCTCAAATAGTTGAAACCAACACTCATGCTTATTGAGGAAACGTTTAAGATTAACGAGATTGATTAGCCTCAAACAATGTCAGATTTTCCCATAATGTGATCAGCTTGGTGCGCTTTTTTGCAGTTGTCAGAAGACGTGCCACCAGACGAGCAGAATCCTTTATCTTGACAAGTTCATTGTTCAAGATATTCTCAACACTCTCACGGGATAAGCTGATAGAATTGGCTATCTGATTTATAGACAATTACCATATGATGAACACGACCAGTGTTTTCCTCGGTTGTAGCAGTTGCAGGACGTCAAGACCTTGAGTCATGCAAAAACATCTATTTTTACCTCAGAAATCCAGCTGCCTACTTTTGCACTATTCATAAATTTGCAGCGTCATTTTCAAATGTAGCAACAATGTCAGCATGAATATCCTTGGTGGCTAAACTCTGTTTTAGAAAGTATTTGATAAAATCACGATGCCAAATGTTGTCCATTCTCAATACTGGCAGCAAAAGGCATGCATTCGCATCGAGAGTGAGCTCAGCGAATATACAAAAACAGAAAGATGCGTAAGGCAAGGATGTGTCTTCTCACCGGACTTATTCAACCTATACAGCGAGGCAATACTGAGAGAACTGGAGATCCTGCCAGGATTCATTATTGGCGGTCACAACCTTTTACCAACATACGATACGCAGATAGCAGACACGGAAAAGAAGCTACAAAACCTCCTACAGAAGATGGCGAGAGAGAGCGAGAAGAAAGGAGTAACCATAAACTACAAGAAGACATCAGTAAAAGGATGAAACCAAAATGCGATTTTCAGGTTGGGGGCACTAAAATGAAACATGTGCGGAATTTTAAGTATCTGGCAGTATTTGACAGAGGGCGGTCGGTCCGACACTGAGATCAGAAGCCGGATTTGGATGGCCAAGGATGCAGCCCAGAAGCTGGACAGATGACTGCGAAACAGGAGGATTTGACAGAGGGCGGTCGGTCCGACACTGAGATCCGAAGCCGGATTTGAATGGCCAAGGATGCAGCCCAGAAGCTGGACAGATGACTGCGAAACAGGAGGATTTGACAGAGGGCGGTCGGTCCGACACTGAGATCCGAAGCCGGATTTGGATGGCAAGGGATGCAGCCCAGAAGCTGGACAGATGACTGCGAAACAGGAGGATTTGACAGAGGGCGGTCGGTCCGACACTGAGATCCGAAGCCGGATTTGGATGGCCAAGGATGCAGCCCAGAAGCTGGACAGATGACTGCGAAACAGGAGGATTAGACAGAGGGCGGTCGGTCCGACACTGAGATCCGAAGCCGGATTTGAATGGCCACGGATGCAGCCCAGAAGCTGGACAGATGACTGCGAAACAGGAGGATTTGACAGAGGGCGGTCGGTCCGACACTGAGATCCGAAGCCGGATTTGGATGGCAAGGGATGCAGCCCAGAAGCTGGACAGATAACTGCGAAACAGGAGGATTTGACAGAGGGCGGTCGGTCCGACACTGAGATCCGAAGCCGGATTTGGATGGCCAAGGATGCAGCCCAGAAGCTGGACAGATGACTGCGAAACAGGAGGATTTGACAGAGGGCGGTCGGTCCGACACTGAGATCCGAAGCCGGATTTGGATGGCCAAGGATGCAGCCCAGAAGCTGGACAGATGACTGCGAAACAGGAGGATTTCTATGGTTACTAAAAAAAGGAGTACTGAGCTGCTACGTGACACCTGTCCTCCTATAAGGTAGCGAATGTTGAACGGTATCCTCAAGGATGAAGAAGAGGTGGCGGAGATGTGGTTCTACAGCAGGATGCTGAGGATATCATAGATCGAGTATGTGAGCAACGATGAGGTCTTGGAGAGGATGCAAACAAGGAGGAAGCGTATGCTTAACATAAAGAAGAGGTAGATGAAATTTGTGGGACACGTGATGAGAAAGGAGGGCCTAGAGAATCTGATACACACGGGACGAATAGAGGGGAAAAGAAACAGGGAAAGCAGCGTATTATATACGTGGCGAGATTGGGAAGGTGGATGGCGGAGCGTGGTGTGGGGGAGTTGGCAGAAACACAAAACCTCTTGTGAGCCACGAGGGATAGGGGGAAGTGAAGGGCCATGATCGCCTACGTCCTAAAAGGACAAGGCAAATAAAAAGGAAAAGACCGTAATTAAAGAAAATTTGTTCGAGATTATTTTGAAAGATAAACGTCTTTGAGTAAGCTAAAAGTTTTTAATCACTAGGCTACAGAATTATTGATGTACGTACTTAAGTATATTAGCACCAAAATGATTCAGTTTCCCATTAAAAGAGATGATGATGACGTGGTTCAGAATTCTGAAAAACTTCAAATGTTGTGCCGATGTGAGAAAATTGGTTCTATATAACTTGTAATAAACGCGTAATTTGTTAAATGCTATATATATATATATATATATATATATATATATATATATATATATATATATATATATATATATAAGTGAATATTGAAGTCAACACTCAGAGGCGACAGGCTGTTTAATGCTGGACGCAATTCCCGACCTGACGACTCCGTTCAGCATGAAACAGCCTGTCGCCTCTGAGTGTTGATTTCAATGTTCACTTTTATATTTGTATTTGCATACGCTCTATCTCTGATGTTGAGCACTTTATCCCATAAATATAGCACACCTTAAAACTATATTTCTTCATATATATATACATATATATATGTGTGTGTGTGTGTGTGTGTGTGTGTGTGTGTTACAATTAATGATATCCAAACAATTTACCTCATACAGATGATCATTTCGTCCATGAGAAAATAGTTTTTCAATGCAAATACATTTACTAAAATGAATAAAATTCCACGTCTCTTCACAGGAAATTTGAAAGGCAAAGAAAGGGAAAAAGAAAAAGGAAAGAATAAAAGAAGAGAAAGTAAGAAATGACCTATAACAGAGGAGAGAGTTCTATAGATATAGAGGGGTAAGGGACCTAATGTGGTTGTGGTGGAGTCGGGTACAGATAAACACGATGGCTGAATAGGACACTGACATCAATGTAACCTATCAACACCTGTAGATGGAAGAATGAACAAAAAAAAGGCCATAAAACATTATAAGGAGGAACTTAAAATTGTTATAGAATGTGAGTAAGAATTTCAAATTAATACTTTTATAAAATGATGTTAACATAAATTCATTCAATACTACGTTTTTAACTATATAGTAAAAGTTACAGTAAAAAAAATTAAGTAAATTATTAATATATTAATTTCATTTAAATATTACTAATCTCGTTATATTCATATAATATTACTAAATTTTCAAATACTAAGTATATAATTTTAATTATATAATACTTATACTAATTATTTAAAAAATTCTCTAAATGATTAAATTTAAATTTACTTAAATTTACTATTATAAAAACAATTAAAGATAGAAGAAAATTCTACATTTAAAAAACATGTAACAAGGAGAGAAATATTTAAACATAAAAGGAAATTCCACATCTCAAAAACAATTTATGTATATATATATATATATGTGTGTGTGTGTATATATATATATATATATATATATATATATAGAGAGAGAGAGAGAGAGAAAGAGCTCTTCGCCAGAATAGAGCGCTTTGGCTGCTGGTCTAGCGTTTATATACATCACGTATATAATAAGTTAAAACATTCCCTTTCTCTGTTATGCGCTGGTTTGAGTCTCTGACTGATGCCAAGTCGGTCGAGTTTCGATACCGGCTTGAAGAAAATGGATGTCTAGTCGCACTAATGAACTGTAATACAGCGAAACAAGATGTGTCTTTCTGTATATATATATATATATATATATATATATATATATATATATATATATATATATGTGTGTGTGTGTGTGTGTGTGTGTGTGTGTGTGTGTGTGTGTGTGTGTGTGTGTTACTGGTGAAAATAACCGTTTCCATAAAGGCCATACTAGACATTCATTTACTGAGCATTTTCGCTTCGGTTGAAATTCATAAAATATTTTTTCTTAAAATTACTTTTCAGGAAATTACTCTTTTCATGTCTCCTGTTATCGCTCTTTCTTGTGCTGTTGGGCGTTTCCTTACAAAGCTTTTGTTTAAGATTGTGTGGAAAGTCAACATATTTCTTATATCATTATTTTCAATATTTTCCATGACCGTCTAAACCTTAGCGGCATGCAGAAAATACATGACCTTCTGTAGTTCTAACTGAGAGTTCCCACTCGCTCGAATATAAAATAGTGAAGGGAAGCTGAAGTAAAAGATATGATTTCCTTACTCCAAGAAACCCCAGGGTGTGTAATAATTCACAAGTCTATAAAAGTACAAACGAATGCTGCTCTGCAACGTGGATCTTTCAACACTGTGTAGATAACTGTCTGCTTTATGTAATGTGTTCCCTAACCATACTCATATCATCTTGATGTATAATTAAATCAGATAACGAGATTACGTGCAATAACCTCAGTCGACCGCGTTTATCACTGGATATGAAGGAATATATTCATTAATCATATTACTGTAACTCTTTTTAGATCAAGGTATGTGGACAAGTATATTAAATTATTATTTCTGAGTTAGTAAAATATCTTATTTGAAATCGTCTTCTGTAAACAAATTATGCAATCTAAAAGCAGGAAAAACACATTTCATATTGTTACAGCAAAACGTGGATACATTTTGATATCCATTCAAGAGAACATTTACATGACTCTAGGATTGAAGAGAAAGTTTTTGCGAAGAAATTTCAGCGAAAACATTAACTTTACTTCGATATAAATGTATTTTGAAATATTTATTTGCGGCTCAGAAATATCCGAAGAATTCGTTTATCGTTATTTATTTTCATTCAAGAAATAATTTAATGTTTCTTCAGTCGTCTTAATTCAACTTCGCTTGAATCCTTAATTTTTGTAATTGTGGTTGTAAAAATACATACATTGAAATAACTTACATGTTAAATTTTAAAATGTGTCTACTAATGTAATATTGGTAACTGACTTACAATAATGAGCACATGACCACGTTGGAAAATAAGAAACAGGTGGAGTCTTGTTATAATAAGAGGAAATCCTATTAACAATCCTAGTGTAGAGATTAATACCATATGGAAAGCAATACGTAAAAAAGCGTAGGATTTGGCTGAAGGACAGCAACGACAACGGGATATAATTCGAAGACGCCATAACCTATTTGTAGTGTTTCATAATCCAATGTTATTCAAAAGTAATTAACAAAAGTAGGTACCTCCACGAAATTGCTAAAAAATCAGCATAGCGTGATGAAAACATGCTCCAAGCGTAATGAAAACAGTTTTATCGTCAAAATCGTTGTTATTATTAAGAAAAATCAAAGTATTTTTGGATTATTTAATTAATTTTTTACTCCTCTTTAGAACATTCGAAAATTGTTTTTCTTGCATCAGCTGTTGTACTAACATTGAGCATAGCAAATTTTCGCCTCTTTTTTTGCGGTGACACAGTAAATTTGAAATTCTTGCAAAAATCAAATAATTGTCGTATTTAAATGAAATTTTCAGGACTTATTCACAAATGAATAAAATTTATTTATTAGGAGATCTTGGTAAAAATATTTACATGTGTTTCTCCCACTTACTTAATTTTATGAAAGCTTGATAATTTTTAGTGACTATATTAATTGAAAGCAGAATATTTTGAAGAATTTTCAACGATTTTTTATTTTTTTATTTTTTTTGCAGAATCAGACATGCAATAAAAGTAAGAATTATTTAATTAGAGAAACTTTTAATTGCTTTTATGAATAATATATATTAAAGATAATATTATCTGAAGAAATGATTTGTTTTAATTTTTTTACAATAATTTACAATTTAAAATTGAATAATTTATAAAATTTTAAATATTTTTAAGTTGAATTTTAATGAGATAATTCTTAGAGAATATTTTTATTAAGTAAAACTATATTTTCTAATCAAATATATTTTAAAGCTTATTATAAATTTAAGACCCCGACTATTTTTAAAGGAATTTCGATATGCTTTTATTTATTTATATATATAGATGCAGAATTTCTTAAGTATGGATGTACAAACTGATATATCTATTTTTAAAATGTCACGTGTTTTAAAAGTTATCTCCAGTGCGGGGAAAAAAAACTAATGAAAATTGTCGTCTGCTACACCATAGATAATTATGATCATGTTCGACGGTCAATCTGCCGTCAACAAATCGATTAACAAATTAGAAAAACAAGATCTGATATTTATGAAATTCTTGTATACATTTTATGCTATAAGTACCATTTATTTCAATCAGATTAATTTAACTTTAAATTTATCAATTTTTCTCAAATAACCTTTCAGAAATATATTTTTTTCTTTCTGCACGATTTTTAAAACGGAAAATTAAATTTTGTTTACAAATGTCTATAAAATGACTGACGTTATCGATTTTACTGAAAAAAATGGAAGTCTATTCTAATCAATACAATTTCTGTTTGAAATACACTAAAGTATTTTGCTTATCGGCTATATTAAATTTAACCCTTTAGCTTTCATTTAATGCTAAGCTAATGAAAGCTTCAGGAAAATATTTTCATTTTTAAAAATACATTTTAAACCTTACATATACCCAATTCATGGAGGTACCTAAACAAAAGTATGACCAAAGAAAAATTATCAATATAATCTGCCAATCTTTATATTTTTATCTGCCCCCCTTTTTATATTTTATATCTGCCTCCTTTTATATTTCTATCTGCCCCCACCTCTCTATGGTTTATCTGCTGCACCCTTTATATTTTTATCTACCCCCTCCTTATATTTTTTATCTATCCCCTTATATTTTTATTTGCTCCCCACCATTTATATCTTTTATCTGCCCCCTTTATATTTTTACCTGCTCCCCCTGCATATTTCTATCTGCTCCCATAATATTTTTTATCTCCCCACGATTTATATTTTTATCTACCCTGACTCTATATTTTTAGCTGCCCCTACCTCTTTATTCCTATATGCCCCCTTTTATATTTTTATCTGCCCCTCTTTATATTTTTATCTGCCCCCCCTTTTATATTTTTATCTGCCCCCTCTTTATATTTTTATCTGTCCTTTAATATTTTTTATCTCTTCACCATTTATATTTCTATCTGCTCCCTCTTTTTTTTTATCTGTACCCTTTATAATTTTATCTGCTACACCGTTCATACTTTTTATCTGCCCCCTCTTTATATTTTTATCTGGCCCTTTATATTTTTATCTGCTCCCAACTTTATATCTTTTATCTGCCCCCTTTATATTTTTTTATCTGCTTCCACCTTTATACTTTTTATCACCCCCTCATATATTTTTATCTGTCCCCTCTTTATATTTTTATCTGCTCCCCACTTTATATTTTTATCTGCTCCTCTCTTTAAATTTTTTTGTCTGCCCTTCTTTATATTTTAATCTGACCCTTTATATTTTTATCTTCACCTCCGCTATATATATATATATATATATATATATATATATATATATATATATATATATATATCTGTCCCCTTTATATTTTTTAATATAGTGTATGAAAACTTTGGCGACGTATTTATTTCAACAATTGAATGATCGGATTATAATTGTAAACGACGTGCAGACTTTTCTGCATATCAGGCAAGTCTGCATTGCATGTTCCAAGTGCAATTTTGAATGTTTAGTCGCTTTGAAAACGTTAAGGTCATCAGGAGAGGGATGAAAGGTCAAAGTAGAGAGGGTGCAAATACTGGCTGCATTATTCGTGTTTCTAGCAGGAGACAAGTCTTCCAACGTCTAATAAGGAAGAAGTTAGATTGACATACAACACATAGACACATTTTGAAACATTTACGATTTGCTGACGGCATTTACTAATATCCCTACCATCGGATGATGAAAAAGAAATGTTAAACAAGTTGAACAGAAATAGACTCTAGACGGGTTAAAAAAAATAAATAGAAATAACAACTAAAATTAACGTTCAATTGTAACGATTATAAGAATGGAGGATGGAAATCTAAAAGAGGTCTATGAATAAAATGAAGGACAGACGATAAAATTAAAGAATATGAAAATGACATAAAATGACGCTTTTTTGGAAGCAATTTTGTACCGTTCTGGGTATAACGATAAACTACACCCGTCTCCTCGTTAAAGCAATAAACTACGTCCAACAGTAAGGTCTCTGATCAGGAGGATTTAAGCAGCTTAGAACCACCTCTTAATAGCTGGTATCCGCCCTTTCCCGGGTTGGTAACATCGGGTCCCAGCTATGGGAAAATAGTTAACCCACAAACTGGGATCAAAACACTATTAAAAGTGTAAAAATAGGTTTTAATATCCGAAATATTTTGCAAAAATTTATAACCAACAATACATTATTGGGAAAAAAAATTACCAGCAATACATTTTTGAAGAAAAAATATTACCAGAAATAGATTTTTGAAGGAAAAAAAATATTACCAGCAATAAAAATTTTGTCGAAAGTAAATAACCCATTGAGGTTGATATGACGCAAACCAAACCAAACCAAGCAATTTTCTAAAACTAAGGCTATAATGAAAAGCACATTGTAAATATGCTTAAAACAAAAAGTTTGATAATAAATGTATAATACCAGCTTTACCTTTCTGCCTTCGTCAGTATGGCTGATGCTAACCTCCACGAGAGTTACTCGTTAACGTTCTCGGCTAACATGAAGTGGAAAGACTATATTGAATGCAGTGCTAGATCTGCTGCTAAGAAAATTGGTTCATTGTCGTACTAGACAATTTTTCCCTCCAGAATCAATCTTACAAATCTATAAGTATACCATTCGCCCATTTTTAGAATATTGCAGTTAAATATGGTCCGGTGCTCCTGCTATATATCTAGAGATCCTTGATAAGTTCCAAAGAAGAATCAGCAATATTATTGGTCCTAATCTGGCGCATCGGCTTCAGTCTCATTCCCATCACCGTAATGATGCCTCGCTGTAACTTTTGTTATAAATACTGCCTTTTATTAAGCTATTGTGTAAAGAAGAAAAACTTATTGAAACATGTAAAGGCCCATGGGAGCTGGAAACGTCGTGGCATATTCTGTTATCAGTTCTAAAATATGTGTCGTGCTCTGCATAAATCTCCAATATTACTAGATAAGTTGTTGTCTAAATGACGTAAAAATAACACTAACATCTCATTTTAACGGACAAACTTCTAATTAAACGTCATCATTGATAGTAAACATCTCTGTTATAATGTCCACACTCTGATGATGGCTCATGTGAGCCGAAAGATTAGATCGAAGAACAGCATAATAAAAAATAACCAAATTTTGGACAGATTTTGTCTTTATTTTCTTCCGAAATTAAAGCCACTATACGAAGCTTAGAACGACTCATGATCAAACATAATAGACATTCGTTGACTGTTATATTTAACGATATACGTTTGAATATATATGTGTGTGTGTGTGTGCACGTGTGTGTGAGTGAGTGTGTGTGAGTTATGAGAGTGTGTGTGTGCGTGCGTGTGTGTGTGTGTGCATGCGTGTGTATGTATTTATATATACAAAATTAAACCCCGCCATATCGAGCGGTATTTAAGCTAACTCCCGCGGAAGACACTTGATTGGGCCTTCATCAAATTAGGTAGGGAGGGATAGATGAGATATGCAACAATAAACTACAGAAGAACTCAAAATTGATCGCTGCATTTAAGAATTGCCTTAATATTAACTTTTAAAAGTTCAAAGATAATTCTTCTGCCGCTACTTAATTTAAAGACAATTTGATGTACGTAGGTCCTTACTTTCCCTACAAACAATTATTTTAATTAAATGGGTGACTTTCACTGGATTTCCGCAATTAATTTAGATTATTTGCAAATTTTATTCCCAATTTATAAAAATTGTTATCGTACAAAAAATATTCGTCGTAAAAAAAATCGCAGTCATGAAAAATTGTGAATCCAAAATTTCAGGATCCGGTCCAGAATGTTTTTAATTTGCTCACGGTTGGCTCGATTCCAGAATCATATGATATGTTGGAATACGTCCTCTAGGAGTAAAGTTGAAAAAAGTATTACACACTAAAATTCGCATTTAATATATATATATATATATATATATATATATATATATCGAGAGAGAGCGGAGGAGAGAGAAACGGCGGAGATGTGTGTTTTGGCAACAGTACCCCTCTAATACATGTCTTATTATTTCTTTATGTGACTTGGTGTATGTAGAAATTGTGCAAATTATTGTTTGTGCCGAGTGTTTTGGCTAATATATTATCATTTATCAACATATCTGATCCTTCATTATATATTATCATTTATCAAGAGAGCTGACCCTTCATCTCTCTCAATATTATGGTTAAAATATTATCATTTATCAAGGGAGCTGACCCTACACCTCCCCCAATAATTTTCCATACTGACACATTTAAACCCACATGGAATTGTACCAACCTCAATGATCAAAATATTTTTCATGAACACAAATGTAATATACGCTTCTAAATACATCCCAGCGACGAGAAATAATGGAAGCCATTATCGTAAAAAAACTCTTAGCATCATCTATTATGAAAACATGTATGGAAGATTAAGTTCTTTAGCCTTGGTTGGCAATCAATTTAGAAGAAGGACAATTCAAATATCCGTGGAGTGTCGTTTAGAAACTTGTACAACTGTGACGTCCCCCGGTGTCGCTGCGCCAAATGTGACGTCTGCCTGGCCGCGCCGCCGTGGTGTCCTAGTCGCGTCGCCAATTGTGACGTTCTATCCTGTCCTGTGACGACCAATGTGACTTGGTATTGGTCGCGGCACCAAATGTGACGTTCTAACATTTTGCTGATTCGGTTGGGAATCTTGTTAGATTCGGTATCAGCCTTGTCGTTCCCAGCTCGCCTCCAACGTCTGGTTACCGAAGTAACAGCTTTGATTTCTAGTCTAACCTACCCTCGTTGTGATTTGATCTTATGTAGACGAAATCAATCAGTCGCCGGGCCGTAATGCAAGCTGAGTCCGTTCAAGGATAACATCGCACAAGTATATATAAAAGAAAATAAATAAATAACTCGAAAAGTTCAAATGTGTTAAAAAAGGATAACAATATTTTATATCTGGTTGCTGAATACAGGGCTGCGTCTTTCTCCCAAACCGCTTCTATGGATTCGTGACACTTTGTGTTTGTTAGGCGAGTCTTAACATCTTAAGTTGTTTGTTCTTTAAGAAACTGGTTCTTGGTGTATCTTCAGGCGATATTCGTAAAACTTGTTTTGGTGGTGTGAGTCTAAGTCGTTCTTCAAAAAAAAATTGTTTTTGGTTAGAAGTTGAGGTCAAGAATGCGCGAATCTTAGTCAGCTTTCTGCGAGCTCTCACCTCACTGCAACTGCTTGCCTGTCTGTCTAACCCCAACTGCGAACTTCACTGCGAACTGCCAACTCAACTGCGAACTGCCTCTCAACTGCCGCAACTCGTTGCGACTCTGCTTATATGGACGCCGACCAGAACCGGGGTGGGCCTGTCGGGGTTTGAGGTTCCTTGATAATTCTAAATCCGTATTAAAGTTTTTTCTTTGTTTTCGGTCAGGAAGAATTATTATTTCCATTTTTGGAAGTCTTTCGTCCTCCCCAATTCTTCCTTTCTCATTTTGGTATCTCACCCATACCCTCAGAGGGTGTCAACGGGTTTCCCCTCTCTCTCACAGTGGCATCTCATACCATTCCCTTCAGGGGGGGCATTAACAGGCCTCCCCTCCTTCTTCACATGATTACCTTCGCCTGCTGCTCACGCCACCATTCATCCAATGGGCGCCCAGCAGTGTGGGTGTGGCCAGACTAGCCTCGGTTTTAAAAAAATCTTGCTCAAAGAAAAAGAAATTATCTTCCTTTTTCTTTTTTTTTCTTTTTATTTTCTTTCCTTTCTTCTGCCCGACAACAAACCTTAGACTCTTATCTTAACCGAATCACCTGGAATTCATCACCGAGATTTTCGCCCATTATCAACTGGGGGGTCATCTGGCGATTTCGCATTCTGGCGCTAATTATTCGTTCTGATAAAATAATTTTTCCTATCGTGGCCAGCTTCGACATAAAACAGGTGTTTTTCCCAAATAATATGGGGGTGGTCCAACGGACATTTTGGATTTGGTCAGAGCTTGACCTAATTAATTTTTATCTCCCAGCACTCTGCGGGAGGTTCAGAGGACATTTTGTTTTTTTGGTCAGTGCGTGCTTAATTAATTTTTATCTCTCAGTTTCTGTTTCGTAGGCCACTCGACCAACCTGAAACTTTCATTATTGCCATACTCGGTGCGCCGTCATAAATCAAACGTGACAGATGCGCGACCTTGTTTCTTCGCTAATTTCTGCAGTATATCGAGCTTCATACGTTGAGTGGTGATTATATATATATATATATATATATATATATATATATATATATATA